GTTTCAGGGCATTGTCAGTATATTGACAATGCTCCTGTGTTTGTTTGATCTTAGTTCAATGTTGAAGTTCAGTTTAAATTGTTATGTTGAATTCTGTATTATGTTGTTGTGATGTTGGGTTTGAATTCAAGTTTACAGGGGTTGGGTAGATACAATTGTGTTAGGAAGTTGATTAGGATTGGTTCTAGCTGTTTAAATCAGAAGGATAATTAAGCTTGAACAGATTTTTTTTAATCTGTTTTGTAACAGATTCTGATTTTAGTTTAAAGACTGTAATAACAGTAGGATTCAGGGGCATTTCTGGGAATGAAACAGATAAAACAATGAGGGTAATATGTTAATAGTAGTGTGCTGAAAGTGGAATGTTAGTGGCTGTTAATTTAATGGGATAATGGGAAACAAAGGGTAATGGAATGCTGGAAATCAGGAAAAGGGTCACTTAATGGGATTTAAAGTTTTTAAAAGCAGATTTTGGATATGATTTTCTGTTTTTAAAAGAAAGAAGGGGTCCAAGCAATACTTAAGAAAGGGGACAGACCTGTATAAATACAGGGATNAGGTGGCGACTCTGAAATAAATAAATAAATCCCGTTTCGACTGTCCTTTAATTGGAGAAAACTCTCTACGCGCCCCGCGGGTGCGGAAAAAGGAGGTGCAACAAGTGTTTCTCACATTTTTTCAAGCGCATGAAATCATCCAAAAAAACAAACTCCACATACTAATTGTCGGAAAATATATAGTTTATGCCGAAAAATTTTCGGGCTATCTTCTTAGCCCATTTTTTTTAAAGATTTGTTCACACCTATACAATCGTATCCTCTTTTAGATCTTGGCACACTATCACCACCTTTAAATTTGGCCACCATCATAAAGTTCTCGTTTTTCTTCTCATTTAAAAGATTTGGTTGGCCGCTACAATTATGGTCGTAATAGCAACAACGTTGCTCCATTTATCTTCCACTATGCAAGCGACCATGAGATGGCATGAACATGAACGATGACAAGAGCCCCCGCATTTTCACTCATCCGGCGAAATTTTATTTTTTCCCGACGAAGTTTCGTTTTTTCTAAATAGTTAAACTTGTGACTTGAATGATATTCGGTTAGATCCGAGCGGATCTGACCGGAAATAACAAGTTTTGGCGACCCTTATGCATATAATACAATATAAATACAATACAATACAACAGGTAACAACCATCCAAACAAGCTATTATAGATCAAAAAACATAGGGTGAAATTCCACCATCTTTTAACTCGGTTGGAATTTTATTATCGACTACTTTATGGTTTGGTCGAATTTTCATTTTTCCGGCAACCTTCATGTTCATGTTCGTTATTTGTTATGATTGAGTCTCATCTTTGGTTCATTTAGATTGGATTTGATTTCACCACCCTCGACTATTGCCATTATGTTTTGTTTACTTGCCAATGATTTTATTGGTACTCTATTTGTTCTGTCATGTTCGCTTTCAGTTGCATTTTGAAGAGAAAAAATGGCTGAAAATTAATTCTTCTGGCAAAGAGGGGTCGTTGGGAAGATGACGTAAGGTGGGATTAAGTTAAATCCACGTATCTTTGTCTTATTCGTCGATATGACGTGTGAATTACATGTCTTTTTGTATTTGGCTGCCTCAGAATTTTGTGTCAAAATAACACATTTGAGTTTGTGGTTGGAGTGTTCATATGGAACATACTTAAGATACAGTGTTTAAGTGAAAATCGTGGACAACTTTAAGGGCTGTCGATGTATTTTGCCTATTATTATATTCGTCAGCTATTTCTAGTTTAAGCGATTGAATGATCGACTATTTAGATTAATCCTTCAACAACAACAACAACAACAACAACATACCCAGTATTATTCCACACAGTGGGGTCTAAGGAGGGTAGCGTGTACGCAGATTAATCCTTCAACTTTTTGCAGTTTTTCAGAAGAAGAATTAACCCAAATAGCCGCTCATTCATCCACTTAAACTAAAGTTAGCCGGTGGATGTATAATATATGAATATTTGATGTATTATATGTATAATTGAGTATAATTAATGTATAATCTATGTATATGGCTAGAAAAAGTAAAATATGAATATGAACGGCTATTTGTGTAAAGATCTCTTTTCAAAAAGAGAAATTTTCATAAAGCACTATCTTTTAGTAGTAATTAGCCATCTATAAATACCATTTACCATATTACGGATTATAGATACCTTTTCTGTGGTTATAAGATGTATCTGATGTATTTAAGTTATTGTATTCATGAATACAATAACAAAAATAGGCGTGAATCAGGGAAGTTCAGCTAATCAGTTGTTGTATTCGAGTGTATTCGACTGTATTCATGAAGTGAAACATGGGATTACAGCTGGACAGATTATTATATTCGACTGTATTCACGGCGTGAAATAAGGGATTACACTATTTTTAAAATGAGAAGTGAATCAATTAACATAATAGACTCATAATATAATTCAACAAACTCAATTATAGCACACAAACTTTGTATTTTTCAGTTATAAAAAAGATTATCAACCGAAAAATACCCCCAAAACATAGCAATCTTAAGAGAAATTATATAATACATCTGAATACATAAATTATATTACAGTGAATTATAATGAAAAAAAGACAATGAATACAAATAAATACATGAAATACAACGTGATACATTGAAAATACATTGAAATATATTAACAGAAAATCAAGTTGCTCAGTCCCAAAATCCGTCGTCTTTGTTCAAGAACACGCCCTAATTTTCGGTGAATTCGCCTTCGAGCAAAAACCCATCGTAGCTTTTGTAAGCCCTTAACTTTGATTCGTGTATTTTTAGTGGATGACGGAAAATACAATCATAGGATGAAGAGGGCAGTGCCATCGTAGCTTTTGTAAGCCCTTAGCTTTGATTCGATTCGCAATTGCCTTTGGGGTTAAGAAATCGTTTTCCCCATTTTTGAATTTGGAAATTGAGATAACCAAGTTCAAATCTAACGGAAAATCTAGGAGATGAAAGGAGACAAAGAGATAGATAGATAGAGAGAGAGAGCCGTACAACTGGATTTCGCCGGAGAGGAGGAAGTTCCCAAATTCCAGCCAAGAGAAGTGGTGGTCGGTCAATGAATCCGGTATTATTTGGAAGAGAGAATGACACGATCAAATTAGAGAGAGAAAGAAAATAGTGTAACTGAATAGCGTATATAGTGGCTTAGGGGTAGAAGGTACCAAAATTAGATATTTTGCTATAAACAGTAAAAGGTATCTATAGAATATAATTTTTTTAAATGGTATTTATTTAAAATAAATAAGTTGTTAACCTTTGCTATAGGAGGTAAAAATTCCTTACTAGTGAAGAGGGTGAAATTAAAAAATAGCCAGATTTACAACTGGTCGTTCAAAAATAGCCTAATTTCAAAAGTAATCGAAATTTAGTCACTTTTCATTTAAAGATAAATCTGGGCGAAAACACTATTCAAAACCCAGAAAATACGCCAGTATATTATGTTGGAGTTCCAGCATAAGTATACTTGAACTCCAACATATTATACTAGAGTTTCAGGATAAGTATGCTGGAACTCCAGCATAATATGATGGAGTTCCAGCATAAGTACACTAGAACTCCGACATAATATACTGGAGTTTTAGCAAGTATACCGGTCCAACATAATATACTGGAGTTTGGAGCATCAGTGCTCCAGTCTCCAGTATATTATACTGGAGCTAGCAAAGTATACCGGTCTGGCATAATATGCTGGAGTTCATACACAGGTGCACCGAACTCCAGTATATTATGCTGGAGCGGTCTCTATTACAGCAAAATAGTGACTATTTTTCATTGACTTGGTAACGCTGACTATTTTTGAATGATTAATCTAAAAACTGGCTATACCGTGGTATTTTTACTAGTGAAGACTCATTATAGCCCATGACATCAAACGGGCTTGAAGGACCCAATGTGCGATTGCAGCCCAATGTCACAGGGTATAAAGGCCCACAACCTTGATAACGTCAAAGATTACAGAAATCTTCGTAACAACTACTCCCACGCAAAATAAGAGCAGGGCGGTAGATTTTGGCGCCAGGTTTCCCTCCAAAAAGCTTTTCCCTCCATTTTCAGTTCCCATTAAGGCACCGCTTATAAATTCAGAAGTAAAATAGCCAAATGAACTCATCAATCTCATTTCGATTTACATGCAAATTATACCTTTTTACATTTAAATTTTAGTCTGCACTCTTGCAGCATGGTAGAAGCCCTAGGACCAGCGAAATTCTACGGTAGCAGCCTCCCTAGGCCACGATTTTACAAGCCCAACGAAGAGCGGGTGGACCCACCAGTCTCCGTTATTGATCCATTAATGTCATGGGCGGAGGAAGCCCACTGGTCCATGGGTGGCGTGAACTTCACGCGCCACCGTCTCCAGGGCCGCATTCAAGGCAACATCGAGAAGCTACGCACGGAGCTTGAAAAGGTAGAGAAGAAGACCGGCAAAGAAACCCCTGCAAAGGGTTCGACTCCGTTTCCCGACAGTCCATCGCCTCCTCCTGCTCCGTATGTGTTGAAGCGGAAGAGGTTTTTGATTGATGAATCTGAAGTAAAGGAGCGCGTGGGAAGGAAGCTAGGAGATGAGTTTGATAGGGTTGCGGAGGAGAGTGGATTGAAGAGTGGTGGAGCTGTGAAGGCTGTTGCTAGGAGGACGAGGAGCTGGAGAAATGAAGATGCTGTGGCTGAAGTGGTAAATCAGGTGAAAGCTAAGGGCGAGAAGTTGAAGGAGGGTTTGAAGGATGGCGAGAAGGTTGGATCGTCGATAAGAACTTCGCCTAGATTGTTGAAACGTAGGTCGCCTTGAAGGTGTTTGATAATTTGTGTCATTGACTGGGTTATGTAGAGGACAGGACTATAGTTTGTTTTTATTTTCTTTTCCCTTCTTAATGAAAATGGATTGCTGGTGTCAACTAAATCTTGTTGAAACTGCAAAAGTTTTAGCTAAATGAGAAGAAATTTAGTTGCTTTGCTTCTTGTATTTTCTGTTCCATGATATATATTGGCTGTAATTGTAGCTAAATGTTGCTTTGTTGAGATTGTGGTTGATCCTGCCATCCTGCTGTTGTCTCTAATAATTGCTCTAAATGATATACTACTATTGCTTTTATTGGTTATGGATAATTTACTCGTTTTAATTGTTCAGCATTGTGCTGAAGTCAAAATCTCAAACAAGATCTGCAAATATTCATATATAGATATTGCAGAGCAAATTCATCCATAAGTATTGTAGATATTAAATTATCAATTGAATAGTAAATGCATCATGTTGCTAGTACTTGCCATTGCATTGCTGTTTGCTTTGGTTCATTGCTGTTTATTGGTTGCTACATTTGGCCTGAATAAGTTAGCTTACAATTTATTACATAAGAGGATTATCAAGTTCTGACCTGCTTTAGAAACCTTAGACTTTTTCAGAAATCAAGACTTATTTTGTTACTGACCTCATATGTGCAATTGAGATAAACCATTGGTGGGATGGTTAAGAACAAGAGGTTTATCCCTCTCAGTGACTGTATACGTTATTCATTAACCTCCATGAGAAATGCAATTTCACTAGTGGGGTCTGGGAGAGTAGAATGTACGCACTGTTGTCGGAAAACCCTCGGCTCAGAAAAGATAGAGTAACAGTAGCAACAACACCAACAAACCAAACAGTAGCAACAACACTAGCAAACCAAACAGTAACTGATGGTTACAAATGCTCAATATTACCCAATATTCTGATTAGTCACACACTAAAATTGACTATTTTAGCAGCTACAATTGCAACAGCATGAAGATGAATCTTCCCCAGCTCGAGTCATCACTGCTAATGAAAAGAGTCATCTTCCCTACTATTACTATTGGATTGAGACGTATCTAAATAGACCATATGGTTAACAATAATTCACAAAGTCCACGCCAACTTAATTGGATTAAGACATAACTGTTGTCTAATAGTTACAGATATTTTGCCTTCAAAAAGAATTTGTTACAGATATTTTGAAAAAATACTGTAGTTAAAGTCATACTGTATCAGTATTAGTATTACTACTGGCCAGTGGCCTCCTATAAAGAAAAACAAAGAAAAAAGATCCGCAATAAAATTGCAAATTTATCCAACAAACCTGCCAATCTAAATTCCAAAAGCACGCTTACCAATAAGATATCGCCAGCTGTCACCAGCATTCTTCCCCCGTGAATCTAGCGTTAGGGTTTCTAACACTCTCCATTCCCAATCCCAGATCTCTTATTTCTCTGAATTCTGTCTCTTTCTCAATTCCCCTCGAAACACTCAATACGTGCATACAAATGGATTTTTATTTATAACCCAACTTGGTCCTTACTTCTCTCTGTAAAAATTGCAATTTTGTACAAAACCATGATATAGTGCTTTGAGTTTCACTTCCCAATTTTAGGTCACGTGATTATGCAGCAAACTTTTTAGCCATGAATCCCCTTGCTGTTTGTATAAGTAGCTGAAAGTTCAGACTTTTAGTCTGAATTCTTGTTAAAAATTCAATCTTTTTGGAAAACAGAAGATAAATAGCTTCTGAATTTGTAAAATCTGAAAAGGGGTTTTGAGTTTTTGTGATTTTAGTGAATGGGATCATCTGGGTTTTTCACAATCTGCATTCTCCATTCACTAATAGCCACTACAAGTGGTGCACTGATAATGTTCTATCTGAATGAAATCTCTGTGTTGGGACATGGGATTGAAACAGCAAGAAAGTTGCTAGGATCAACCCCACATGACCAATTGGTGATAAAAACATCTGATTCATTTGTTGGATTGCTTTTATGTGTAATTGGGTTGTTGTTATTCATGGTATCTTTTGTTAAGGACAGAGAATTTCAGGGCTTTTTTGCTAAGGGTTGTGTCCTTCTTCATGTGGCAATGGGATTGTGGAGGGTTTATTTTGAGAGGAAGCTTGAGGATTTGGCTTATGATTGGCCAAGGCAACTTGTTGGTGATTTTGTTCTAGCACTCTCTTGGGTGTTCTTTCTTGTTAATTCTTGGAGGGAGAAATATGATTAGAGAAATTGTACAAGTGGAATTGCTATTTTGGGATGGTTATGCCATTTGATTACTTAAAAAGATTGCTGTTTGGTGCAAATTGGAGGTACTTTTTCTGCCTGAATATTCATGTAAATAAAAGGGATCAAGAGATAAGGAATCCTTGATTTTTCCTTCTTTTTCTTTCATTGTAATTGAAGCCTTGGCATAACGAGTAAAGTTGTTGTCATGTGACCAGGAAGTCACGGGTTCGAGCCGTGGAAACATCCTTTTGGTAAGGCTGCGTACAATAAACCCTTGTGATTCGACTTTTCCTGGAACCCGCGCATGGCAAAATCTTAGTGTACCGGGCTGCCATTTCTTTTATTGTACTTGATTATATTTAGAAATGAAAGAAATGTGGCAATTTTGACACTTTCTAAGACTAAACTTCGATGAGGACGAAATTTCTTAGGTGTATTAGCTTTATTGTATTTTTCTTTTGCTCCATTATCAAACCACATCAGTAAATCCAAGTTCAGAACATTTGATTCTGAATGGAAATCCCAACAGCCTTAGTTGGATCTCTATATCAGAAAAAGACTTCCTATGTAGTCCTCCTTTATGTATAAGAATAGTATATTGAAGAGGGTGTATTAGTAACGTTAAGATTGATAATACTAAGATTAGTTATGTTGGGATTAAATATGCTAGAATTATTTTTTATTGACTGTTTTATTTGTTGTATTAAAGGTTTTGAAAGGTCAGTTATAGCTTTAAACATGCTTATCCATATGTTAAAAATTATAATATTACTAATGTCATGATTTGTTATGTATTAGTAATGAATATGGTGTATAACTAATATAATAGGCTGATGCTTTCAAGTCACTTGTTCTGTATATATATGCTATTGGAGTAGTGTGGATTTGTAGCTTTTGCTCTCTCTTTTTTCTTCTTCTTTTCTGAGCTTTTGTGCGTTTATTTGATATTTTGATGGAATAAAAAATTAAAAGACTCGCGTTCAGATCAACTTTCGAGTGTTTTGTAGGAGTATATTAGTATAGAATACAATGCTGTAGATGTTTCTTACTCTGTGTCTGTTACTTTATTAATCAAGTGGGAGTAGCTCAATTTGTCCTAGTTTTTCAGATGCACAAATTTTCATGTCTAAATAATGCAAAGACAAGGTGCAGCTTTTCTGTGTCTTTCTTTATCTCTTCTTCTTAAATCTAGACTACAAGCTATATGAAACAACATAAGCTCAATAGATTGTGAGAAGAAATATTGAAGCTCAAGAGAGCTTCGGGGCGTGGCCCTTCTCAGATCCTGAGTGAGAGATGTTTTGTGCATCAAGAATGTGTTGAGACGTGTGCAAGCTGCTGGTTCGGATACCGCGATAATTTAAAAAAATGCTGTGTTTGATAGTTGGCTTACGAAATGCAGCACACGGAATCTTGGACCACATAGAGACGTGAGTTCTCCAAAAGCAAAGGTTTCCAAAAGAGCGACAATGCCTTATGCCACCACTTATCATCCACTTTTGGACCCCATCTCCAAAATCATGTCTTTGTGGTTTGTGCTCATTCCTGCCATTTTTTACTCCATTTTACTTCCTCTCTGTGCTGTCCCAGCCCCATCGCCACATCGCCCCATGCACATACCAGTCCCCCACCGTTAAAAACATCAAATATTGGAAACTTTAATTTCAAAATTTTATGTCAGTGTATGTAGTGATGAAGGTAATTAAAGATTTTAAGTTACTAGAGTAAAGCTCACTCCACCTGGGACAATATATATTGAGAGGAGAACTGAAAGCGTATAGAATGACATTAATTGCGTGAGGCACAAATTAAAATTTTTGGTATACAATAGTCATAGATTATTGAGACCTTAATAGCAGGATTTCTTTTAGTGGAAATTATCGAGTATCCAAGAAATTGTATCTCTACTGTTTAGACGAATTGACGTCTACTAAAGCTTTGAAAACATACATTGTTTGCCGCTAAAACAGAATATTTTAGGTTTGCGCTTAATGAGGACTGAATCTTAATTATTTAGATCTCAGTCATTAAGTGCGTTCGTTTTTAAAGTCTTAATCTTAATTATTCAGATCTTAATCATTAAGTATTTTTTTTTTATTTCACAACCACTTAATGGTCTGAATAGGTCTGTATAATTAAGATCTATAACAAAGACTTATAGCCTGTTTGGCCAAGCTCGAGAAATCAACTTATTTTGAGAAGTGCTTTTTTGAAAAATGCTTTTGAAAAAAATACTTTTGGAGAGAAATAATTTGTGTTTGGCTAATCATTCTGAAAAACACTTCTGAGCAATAATTTGTATTTTGCCAAGCTTTTCAGAAAGTGCTTTTAAGTAACAAATTACGAATAAGGACTACATTTACTTAATAGTTAATATTATAAGTAAATAAATAATCTCAAAAATTTGTTATTACAGGCAATAATTAAATCTTTTCATTTTATTTAAGTAGAATAAGAAAATAAAATTTAAAAAGTACTTAATTTTTTTAATATAAGTTAAATATATTAAAATTCATTCGACAAATATAAAAACATTCACCTCTAAAGTCATTATATATTAGAAAGCTATCCTAAAAATAAGAAGAAATACTTATACATTAATATCCTAAGTATTAGGTTTATGGTTATTTTGGTATATACTATATTTTGTTAAGGGTATTTTAGGTAAGAAGAAAAGACAAAACTGTTTTGCTTTTACTTTTGGGAAGAAGCTATTTTTTTCTGCTTCTTAGAAACTGCTTCTGCTTCTTCCCAAAAGTATATTTTTCTCCCAAAAAAGCTTGGCCAAACACCTCAAGTTAGGAAAAAAGTGCTTTTGGGAAAAAAACACTTTTGGCCTCCTGAGAAACTTGGCCAAATAGGCTATTAATTTCATTAAGATATTATCATCCATATTCATTATTAACTGCCACCACCGCCTACCATTATCAACTACCACTATGCCACTACCACCATTATCCTCAATCATCACCACCACCACACCACATCATCCTCAATTATAGCCGCTACCATTATCGACTATCACCACCCCCCATTCCCACCACTCCCACCACCATCATTCTCAACCATAATCAACACTCGTCCACCTCAACTACCACAACTAACCACCCATTAACATCAAAAATTACAGTTGGCACTGCCCATCATTATAACCTACCACCACCCACCACCACCATCCTCAATCATAATTGCCATCACTACCAATCATCACTAGCTACTACCCTGAATCACCACCATCAACCAAAACTACCACCAACCACCGCCTCTAGTCGGCAATCACCTGTTAGCCATCACCACCAACAACTATCATATTTTAAAAACCTATATATTTTATTGATAGAATATTAGACTAATTAATATTTAATTTGAATTTTATGCTTATTAATTTTCAAATAAGATAAATTTTATACATTCAGATATTAAAAATCAAACATTTTTAATCATTTAGTATTCAGATCTTGATACACATCTTAATATTCAAATATGTATTCACATTAAGATGTTTTAATCTTAATACACATCTTGATATTTAAATTTAGACTTCTTAAAAAAAAAAAGCAAATGAGGCCTTAGATGATAATTTGTCTAAATTGTTTTTGGAAATTTAAGTTATATGCATTTGACGATATAAAAAATATTGAGAAAATTGTCTGTATAGCCGCTGTAAAAATAATAGCCGAAAAATGTATAATATATATATACTAATTTTTTTATATTTTTTCGGATACTAGATATAAATAGTTTCTGGCGCGGGCTAAAAGTGATAATATCCCAAAAATATTTACACTATCGTATTATATAACTGAAGCAAACTATGTCAATCCTTTATTTTGCTCGTTTTAGTTAAGAAGATTTGAATCCCCTGATATCTGCTGAAAATTATTGGAGTACAATTAATTGCATTACATCTTGGCAAAGTAGGCACTATGTTAGCCCCATCCTATCCTCTATTATAATAACGTGGGACATAAACTAATAAATTATGATGCCACCTCTAGATGTTGATTGAATTGTAGTTTAAGTTTAGGATTCGATGCCTATATCCACTGGCCTAAGCTAGTATTTATGCATGAAAGATATATGTGTTTGCACATAAATTTGTGCAGAAAAATAAAACTGTAATTACAAATTAAACAACTATAAAATAAATGATTTTTATTGATAAACATTGCGGGTTACAACTCTGTTTATCCTTGATTCTTCCCTTCGATTTGTTATTCATAATTCGAGGGCCTTTTATGCCTTGATCCTTTTGTGAATATTCCGAGAATTTGTGAAATTTTCTGAGATGACCTCAATTTGCGAGATCCTTTATTGATCGAATATGTAGCCCTTTATATAAGTGTGAATTAGGGTTTAGGGTAGAGTAGCCTCTGTATACGATCGAAATCCGGCTCGCCTACAACATGATAGATCAGGCTCGAAACATGAATGATTGAAGATCGACCCCAAGTTCCACCGGACTAGAATCCGGGGTCAGAATGCCCGTCTTCGAGAACATTGAGCCCGTGATCCCGAAATCGACCCTACCCCGAACGAGCTCGAGGAAACATTGTTAGCATAACCAACATAAGACCGAAATATCCGTGACCGGTCGGATATTAAGGCGGGTATCTCGGCACGTATCAATAAGGAACCGACAATCAACAAATCAAGAAATTTTTACCTTTTATAGAATTGTACCTAAAGTAAGACTCCCCACTATATAAAGGGGGTCTGATAATTTGTTTAACACATTGTAACACGCATTCCAAAGCAATACATCATTACATCTCTCTTTAAGCTCTTACTCTACTGTATCTTGATATCAACCGAAGTGTATCCAATTCGAGTGTGACTAACATCCCAAGAGTGTAACTGTTCAATTCGTGTGGTTTGAATTTACTTTATCATTGTTTATTTCAATTGCAATTTAATTTATCGCTTTGTGTCAAGTTAATCCGCGTATCTTTAAAACCACTTACAAATTCAATTGTTATCTGATTTTAAGGGTAAACAACCTCCAAGCAACCCTAATAGACTTATAGGATTTCAAGAGTCTTATAGTATCTTGAATTTACTTGAATTTAGAATTTAGCTTGATCCGTTAAAATTTAAATGTCTACCATATGTATTGAGTAATGTAGTTTCACCGTTTGTGAAATTTTATTTTTGAGACTTTAGATGTCCGTTGGCTGAGAGAGATATCAAACTCTTGTTAACTTTTAATACTACTATTTTAAACCATCTTCTTTTAGGATTAATTTCATAGAAAACAGATGCGAATTTAGGATTTAAATTCTATGGGTTTAACCTTAAACTTGTGGGATCAGACCTATTATTTTGTTGTAATTTTAATGTATTTTTAACCAAGGTTAATTATTCCGAAATTAGTTATTTCGGGATTGATTATCTCACCATTCCATAAAGATAAAAAAAACTATAATTCCGTGATAGCTAATTTGGGGATTAGTTATACCGCAATTTTATCCCAATCGAACATGAGATAAACTCATCTCAAATTTAATTGCGAGACTAATTATCTCTTATCCCTCGTGTCAAACGAGTCCTAAGGGTTTACTAGTTGAAAATAAGGATAAATCTAGCCCATATTAGTAAAGATGAAAATATAAGGCAAGTGACATTTAGCCGAGCAGTCAAAATAATTATATTTGCTAGTTAGTATACAAAAGAATATATTCTTTTCCGTTTCAATTTATGTGAACCTGTTTGACTGGGCACGGAGTTTAAGTAAAAAATAAAAAATTTTGGAATTTGTGATCCTAAACAAGTTCAAATGGGGCCCAGAGTATTTGTGTAGCTATAAAAGTTTCTCATTAAGGGTAAAGTTGTAACTTTAAGCTAAATTATTATCAAATTTAGAAAGGATTTATTCTTTTTGGAACGGATAAAAAAAAAATAGGTTGACGTAAACTGGAACAGAAGTGCACTTTTTCCTTTGCAAAAGCAAGCTTCAACTGACAGCACGCACTAATGCCTCGTTTGGGTAAATAAAAGCATTCTAGTATTATCCCCTTGTTTACCAAGCTGTCCACAAAACCAAAACAACACAGAATAGGTAAAAAGGAAACGACGCAGAAAGTGAAGAAAAATAGAGAGAAAAATCAAAGTCCAAAAAAGCCATCAAATCATACCCAAAATCACCAATCTATGACAGAAACCAAAGAACAAGAACCTTTGCAACAACAAGAAAATCAATCAATAATCTCCTCTATGTTTCTCATAAAAATCATGAGCAAAAGAAGAACATGGGTATTTCTCTTTGTTTCTGTTTACACAATTTTATTATCAATTTCTTGGAATTTTCTTAAAACAGTGCTTTCTTGGTATGAATCAACTATGTCAAATTCCTCAACTTCAGCTTCAGCTGGTTGGCCTGCTTTATATGCATCTGTATTATTAGGTGTAGCTTTTGGGGTTTTGTCTATGGTAGCAGCTTTAGCTGTTGCAGTTCCAGCTACTTTAGTTACTTGGATTACAATTTTAGTTTTGTTGACTTTTGCTGGAAAACCGAGAAGAGATTTGGTTTTAGAAGGCAAGAAATTGACTGCTGATATTACTGGATTTGTTGTTAAGGTTTTGATTAAAGAAGGGAATATTGTAGCTGCTCTTTGTGCTGTTCTTGGTTATTTTGCTCTTGTTAGAAGGAATAAAGAAGATCCTGTTGTTGATTATTGACTTGAAACTATAAATTGGGCAATCAGGGAATTCCAATTTCTCCCCAAAACAGTTTGTAGAATTATTATTTTTATTTTTGCTTTCTTGTTTTTTAAGTTTATTTGGTTAGTTAGGATGTAATAGTCAAGTTATTTGGTTTGAAAGGGCGCCGTTGGAGCAACGGTCAAGTTGTCTCCGTGAGACCTATAGATCACGAGTTCGACCCGTGGAATCAGCCACTGATGCTTGTATTAGGGTAGGTTGTCTACATTATACCCATTGGTGTGCGGTCTTTCCTCACACCCTGTGTGAGCGAGGATGTTGTATCAGGGTAGGTTGTCTACGTCATACCTTCTTGGTGTGCGGTTCTTCTGTGCACCTTACATGAACAGGGATGTTTTGTGCATCGGGCTCGTTTTTTGGTTAGGAGGTAGGACTAGGGTTAAAAGCTGTTTGATTAGCTGTATCTAACTGTAGATTATCATAAATGTCTATGCCATGTAACATATAGTCTGTGAAATGGGATTCAATTATGCTGCTCGAGTAATTTCTTTTTGTTTTTGGTTATTATTTGTAATGTACTAAAAGAAGAAAGTCTTGTGACCAACTTTGTATAAGTTGTGGACCAGAGGTAGGTCTAACTAACATTGATATTGATTTATGATCAACCATTCAAATTTTCAATCTTTTCTTTCTTGGATTCTGGATTGAATGTTTGAGTACGGATTGGTTGAATGAACAAGCAAGGCATGTGTTAAAAAGGTGCAATATCTGAAGGTACGCCATGTCTTAAATCTTACAGGTACTTAATTAGTGCAAGTTTATCCAATATTTCTATTTCAGAATTGGAGATATTAGAACTCAAAAACAAAAATATCCTGTCTATAGAAAAAGGTTCTCGCATTTACGATAGAACGTCCAAGTTTGGTGAACATAGTAAATCGATACTTATACTGTTGAAAGGTAAAAGGTATTCAGTGAAATACTTGAATTATGTCTAGTATAGCTCCAATGCCACCGTTGCGTTAAACTCTTAAGGTTAAATTATTTACTTGGTCTAGCGTAAACATCGACTTCGAGCAAGTATTTTTCCTACGAGAAATATGTATTTTAGTTAGGTCACTAGCAAATTGGACAATCAGGGCTAATTAAGTTTGAAATGTTCCTTGCAGAAACATGTAGGCAGTGAGCTAGCAGATTTATAGTAACTCAAGTTGCTTCAACTTCCGGGCGAAGTGCAGCAATAGTCACTTTTAAGCTCGTTATTTAGTTTACAATGTATTTAAAAATTAGCTAATTTACCCAAACCTCAGGATTAAGTATTCTGAATTTGGAAATTAAGGACTTAAAGTCCTAAATTTTTGAGCTGTTAATTTAAAATTCAGGACATAAAATTCGAACTTCTGGACACAATAACCTGAAGTTTGAACTTTGAGGTTTAAACTCTAGGACGTCGTGTCCTGAAGTTTAGACGAAATTAGCTAATCTTTAAATACATTGTAAACTGTGATTATATTAGACAACATGCTTTTAAACCTAGTGTCATTTCTACTCAACTTCCCCATACGATACGAGGTAAAATTTGACCAAAAGGGGAATAGGGGTGAATCTTGGGCTTGTCCATATTTTGATGGGCTTATTTGACATGCTTGGCCCATGCGTAGTTATTAGTCCACAAAATAGAAAAGGATCTTTACATAAATAGCCTACCGGATTCACTGTTTACTTTTCTTAGCCGGATAAATAGATTATACACAATTATACATATACTATGTATCTGCCGGTTATTTTTAGTTTAAGCGGTTGAGTGATGACTATTTAGGTTAATTCATCAAATAGAAATCACTGGCTAAACAGCCAACGATAAATTTCTTTTTCATATAGTAGTAATCAAGAAAAGCCATTTTGATAACTGGATTGACCTCCTTCATTATTATTTCTTTTGTTTCTGTTTTGATTTATGTGTGTTTGATTAGAATTAGTTTCTCAAGTCACTAAATAATTAGCTTCTCACCTATGTTGTTAGATTAATATGATTTGAGAAATCCATGTTAGACTTGAACGTAAATAAGTCATTATTTTAAAGGAAGTTCTTTTTTATAAAAAAAAAAAACAATTTTTATGTTAGCATTTTATTCCTTAGTTGATGTTATGTTTCTAGTGTTCAATTATTTTAATTTCTTGTTTCATGAAACAATATATGGCTTTAAGTTCAAAATTATTATAGTTATCTAATAAAAACTAAAAATGGAGCCTTATGCTAAAGAAACTATGGTATATTAGAGCCATTGGATCTTTTAAATTTAAAGTGAGATGAATGAGATTTTGGGCTTTTAGATTTAATAAGACATAGCAAGGATTATGATCCGGGCTCAAATACAAACTGGGTAAAGAATAAAATCTACACTATATCACTTTTACCACAAAATTCCATAACTCTCGGCTTTGCAATAATCTCAAAGTAGTTTAGAAAAAATAATTGTATATTCGTAGTTAGCACGATTAATAAATTATCGTGGCTATGGGAACGGTTCCCGTGGCATAGTTGCGATACCAAATCTCCTAAATTTGGGTGTGCATTTATGTGACCCAAATCCAAATCTCAACGGAGTCGGAATGTATTAACAACCACGGGTGCATTGATTGCGACGTGGTTCGAGATGCATTTTCACGACGTTGCAATTTTATTAAAAAAAATAATAATAAAAGCGGTTTAAAGTTGATAAAAACACATAAATTATAATATGTATTAAAATTAGATATTTAGCCATTACAATAATTTAAGCGACCGTGCTAGAACCACGGGATTCGGGGGTGCCTAACACCTTCCCTCGGGTCAACAAAATTCCTTACTTAGAATTTCTGGTTCGCATACTTCATTTGGAAAGTCGAATATTTTCCTCGAATTGGGATTCAAGATAAACCGGTGACTTGGGACACCAAAAGCCAAACCTTTCCCAAGTGGCGACTCTGAATTAAATAAATAATCTCATTTCGAATATTGTCACTTAAATTGAAAAAACTCCCTCGCGCATTTACCCCTAGGGGCGGGCGCGCAAAAATGAGGTGTGACATTGTCGAGCACAATGCCTCCGAGCGGCTATTTCGTCAGTTTGGCCTGCCGCAACTTATACCGACTCCGCTTGCATGGCATGCTTTACATTATGAGAGGGATGATCAGTCCAGGGCGGAAGACACATTTATGGCATGGCTTAACGAGTAGTTGGGTACTTGGGACAGGCAAGGGGACTTGACCCCACCTCCGCAACACTTTCCTATTCAACGTTATATGGCATGGTACCGCACTGTTTCCCGACTTTTTATCGGGAACCCAGTTCATCAGGCACACGGTCGGTACGTCCCATACGCCGGGAGACACAATGCTCTGGTATGTTTTCTCTTATTATTAGTTATATAGCTGTAATTTAGTGCCAAATATGTAGTTTATATTTTTTACTTTGTGCAGGCGATTGGATTGCATACCGTCTATCATAAAGGGCAGCAGATGCAGAGTTATGTCCACGATCCTGTGGCCATGCAGGAGTATAGACGTCGATTTATGGATGCAGCTGCCCAGACACTGCAGCGAGCCCGATCGAATCAGCGTTTGGCACACGAGGCTGATTATATGGACCCAGCATAATACCATCGAGGTCGTGGTATCCCACGAGCTGGTGGTGGCCGACGAGCTGGTGGTGCCGGACGACGTGGT